AGGCAAGGAGGGGTGACCAAGGCGGTGGTGCCAGAGGAGGGTCTGGTGGGACAGGAGGCGACACGAGCAGGGGGCGGACTCAGGACCTGACCGAGACGCTGCAGCAAACACCTGACTCGACGCAGCTACCTGACCAGACGCAGCAACCGGAGGAGACTCTGTGGTCAGTGTGTACAGGCTGGACCCCGGCCGACGTGTAAACGTGGCCAAGTGGCGGCCCGTCCGAGCACACGTGCAGTGGGTCACGCACTGATGCGCAGGAGTGAACTGGTCAACCCCTCCATCCTGAAGGTCAGCACCTCTCACCAAGTTCGTAGAGAACGAGGGGAGGTAGAGACCGGACAGGGAGCCGGACGGGGCCGCCGGGCACGGTAGGACAGTGGAGGAGTGGGCAAGGACAGGACCCCCAGAGGGGTCTGCCAGGGAGACTGCAACCGGCCGACTGAGCGGCGTGAGAGTGGTGCGGTCCCGAAAGAAGGAGCGGGAAGCACCCGAGTCGAGGGTGAAGGTGTGCAAAACCTGTGCCGACGCGGTACCTGAGAGAGCAGACTCACCAGCACCTGGAGCAGCAGACTCACTAGCACCTAGAGCAGCAGCCTCAATGCCCGGGTCAGGCGGAACACACACGCAACAGTCACCATCAACACTAATAGACACAGCATACATGGCAGCAAGGATAGCATCAAAATCAAGATCAAAGATAGCTACACCCGACTTGAGCAGATCTCCCCTGCGAGGGATCTCAGTGGCGTCAGGGAACTGGGTACGCCAGGCGTCTGTCAGGCGGCCGAAGCAGCGCTGAGTGAAGTGCAGGCCACCACACTGCTCTCCAGTGCGGTCGCCGGTGCGCAGGACGTAGGTACAGGGACCAACACCCCCAGGCCCCTGGCGTGCTGCGTACCACTCACGAAGCTGCTGGGGCGACAGGGTCTCACGCGAGCGTGGCTGGTGCTGGGGTCCCCGCTGCACAGCTCCGCCTCGACCAGCTCCACCTCCGCCGCCGCCGCCTCCGCCGCCTCCACCCAAACTGCGACCACCACCGCCGCCTCCGCCTCCACCTCCACCGCTGCCACCGAAGCCCCCACCCCTGCCACCACTCCCACCCCCACCTCCTCCTCCGCCTCCACCGCCACTACCGCCTCCCCCGCCACCCCCTCCAGCGCCCTTGCTCCCCTTGCCCTTGCCATTGCGGCGCCTCCCGCTAGGAGCAGACGCAGCGCCGACCGACTCGGTGCCAACAAAGTCGACAGCAGCAGCAGAGGCAACGGAGGGCAAAAGGGGAACGGGGGAGCACCCCTCAAAGAAAGGGGTACGGGGGTCACCACGAGAGGCTCCTACAGCGACTATACTCTTCTCAGCTGCAAGAAGGCGCTCCTCGAGGAGGTCAACGGTGAGAGTGGTGGGGCAAACAGAGAGGAAGTGGTCCCTGACCGAGCGAAGGGTGTCAGGGAGTCGAGTGACTAGGTAGTAGAGGGTGATGTACATGGGGGGGGGGTTCTTGGCGCAGAACTCAGCAGGAAGCGCAGCGCGGTAGCGGGTGTCACTAGTGCGGAGGTGCGTAATGAGGTTAGTGACTGTGGCAAAAGCAGCGAGATCAGGGAACAGGTACGGCAGCATGAGGCGGCTAAGGGCAGCAGTAGCAGGGGAAGAGTAGCGTGCAACTACAGCGTCGTACAGGGTCTTGGCACTCTTGTACTGACTAAAGTGCGCGCGCTCAATAGACGGTAGGTGACTACGCACAGCAAGACGGGCAGCAGCATCGCGCGTGGTCCACTGCGAGCGAACAGCGCTATCCGCATCAGCAGCAGGAGCAACTGAGACGCCTGACGTGAGATCAAACAGTGAGACTCCGTCCCTAGAGTCACACTGCAGAAACAGCTGCAGATCATCGACCCAGACGTCAAAATCAACTGCCCGACCCTCAGCATTGAAGGTAAGAACATTAGAGGTAGCCATGGCAGCAGTAGCAGTAGCAGTAGTAGAGGGAGTGCGCTTACCACTGGCGGGAGTAGAGGGCCGCTACTGGTGGGGCAGGGCCGGGGCAATTGCTGCAGGGACCGCGACGGCTGCTGCAGGGGCCGCGACTGCAACGGGCCGCGACTGGGCCGTGACGGCCGCGACAGCAGCTGCAGGGGCAGGGGTCGCGACGGCCGCGACAGCAGCTGCAGGGGCCGCGACGTCGGGGCAGGTGGGGGGCCGCGGCGGTCGGGGCAGGGGGCCGCGACGGTCGGGGCAGAGGGGCCGCGACGGTCAGGGGCAGGGGGCCGCGACGGTCGGGGCAGAGGGGCCGCGACGGTTAGGGGCAGGGGGGGCCGCGACAGCAGCTGCAGGGGCAGGGGTCGCGACGGCCGCGACAGCAGCTCCAGGGGCCGCGACGTCGGGGCGGGGGGGGGGGGGGCGCGGCGGTCGGGGCAGGGGGCCGCGACGGTCGGGGCAGAGGGGCCGCGACGGTCGGGGGCCGCGACGGTCAGGGGGCCGCGACGGTTGGAGGGGGGGGGGGGGGGGGGGGGGGGGGGGGGGGGGGGCGCGACGGTCGGAGCAGAGGGGCCGCGACGGTCGGGGCAGGGGGCCGCGACGGTCAGGGGCAGGGGGCCGCGACGATCGGGGCAGAGGGGCCGCGACGGTCAGGGGCAGGGGGGCCGCGACGGTCGGGGCAGAGGGCCGCGACGGTCGGGGCAGAGGGGCCGCGACGGTCAGGGGCAGGGGGGGGGGGGGGGGGGGGGGCGCGACGGTCGGGGGGAGGGGGCCGCAACGGCCGCGACAGCTAGGGCAGGGGGCCACGACTGCTAGGGCAGGGGGCCGCGACTGCTAGGGCAGGTAAAAAAAAAAAAAAAAGTTAGGGCAAGGCGGAACGTTCGGTGGGCCCTAGGAACGATTCTGCTCTGAAACCATGTGAGAATAAACAACAAGGAATGATTGCATTGAGCAGCATGAGGAGTACAAGTAGGAAACCCTAAAGTGTTGTACCCCATATGAGCTACCCCACTACAGCCTAAACAGACTATAGCATATAAGTTTGACAGCAAGCACTAAGGAACTAAGCAAAGGTGCGATCACTCCTAGTAGTTCGTGCCAACCCCCGTAGCCTAGCTCACTACCTTTGCAGAGTGACTCTCCGCACGGTGCGGTGAGCGTGGAACGAACATCGCAGATTACCTTCAGATAGGAGCCGAGTTTTGCGCCTACTAAGTCGTTCGTAGGCCGGCAGCAACGTTAGTCACGATGGTCGACCCCGTAGCTGATGCGGAAGTAGCGGACACCTTGGAGGCACGCTTGGCTGATGCGAGGAAACGCCACGCGGATGGCGAGTACGGGACGATCCCCTTGCTGATCGTCGAGTTGGGCATTCGGCCGCAGTGGGCGACGGAACACCCTTCCTGTCCTGCATCTCCTCGACCGGTGCGCAGCAAAGGTGGCGTTGATGACGAGGTCGTCGATGGTGCACGAGTCAGCGGCAGTGAAGGCACGAGGCAGAGAGGGGTGATTAAGGTCAATGGTGGCGTCGACGGGATTCAGGCACGAGTGCAACGGTCGACGGCCCACATTCCAACTTTCATTTCATTTGGGCTAGATCATCTTCGACCGTAAGATCGAAATCGGACTTCATCAACTGCCTATATTCCAACCTATTCTTCAGAATTATTGAAGGCAATTTCAGCCGTCGGATTTACATGGGCTGAAGATCGAGGGTACACTCGCTATTGAAGGCTTCGGCTATACACATGAAGGGCTTATTTGGAAGGTGGGAGAGTGTAAGGAATTGTAATTCCTTACTGTACTCGTACTTTAGCGAGTACATCCCGAAGTTCACGCAACGAACCTGTTCGGCCTATTTCGTCGGCCGAACCACTCCCGAGTCAGACTCCACTCCAATCGCAACCATCACCGAGCCATCTTCGCCCTACCTCCTCGCCTAGCTAGCTTTTCCCCTATTTAGTCGTGCCATTCTCATTGTATCTGTTACGATATGGAACAGTTCTAAACATTCATGAGTAACAAACCCTTAACGCGAAGATGAATGCAGCGAGGACGAAAGACCAAGCGACAAAGAGAGTTATCAAGACCGTTACAAGCAGAAGGAATTTGAAGTGCAAAGCGCGGGAAATGTTCAAACGGTTGCCGAACCACATACGGTTACCGGATCGCACGGTTGCGATGCTGCACCTAGATTAGCCCTAAGGGGAATGTACCCCCTCATAGTACATGGCTAGCTAGGACCTTTTGTATTCCACTGTATTCCTATATAAACCCCTGTACCGCATTGCTATAGTCACTTCTGTCGAGATTCAAATCTCCTTCTACTGACAGAGTCCGTACCCGACATTACCTGGCAAACTTCCGCTGCTACACTTTCGTGCGATCAACCTGAGACGATCCTATAAGACTGTTCAGATTACATCAGTATCGTCATTCTGTAGTCAACCATTCTCGTTATTCGTTTTACTGCGCACTCTGCAAGTTCATTCATAACAACGTGGCTGTTTTCAAATTCAATATTTCTGAATTAGAATTCACTGAAAACCATGTTACCACCTGAAGTGGAATTTTCCTTCACGATCGGGGGGTGGTTTGCGACAGTGATCCGTGATTGGCCAGCGACACTCAAAGGTGGGGGGTCAGCTGGTAACGCAGCACTCTTCACGCTCGCTCAATAACCTTGAAAACCTTCTGGTACTAATTGTCAGGCATACTATACCCGGTTCACCCGTCATTCACGCTCATAGAATCACCCTGTTTCTGCACACAACTCGTGTACGAACACGCGCCGTATGCTCCTGCTATATTCTTGCTGTTCTAGGGTTTGGTTGCTGGTCGCTTAGGTTCCCCTGATCGCCCCCGTGACGCCGCAACCTCTTCAGTTCCTTGGCTCCTGTTGTTCGCTTCCTCACGTCGTCCGCGATGCCACTCGTCGCCCTGTTTCTATTCGTCGCCCACGCTTCATCTATGCCGCCCACGCTCCCCACGTCGCACACGATTCTGCTCGTCGCCCTCATTTCTTTATGCCGCCCACGCTTCTAGACGCCGCCCACGCTTCTAGACGCCGCCCACGCTTCCTTACAGCGCTCACGCTTCCGCCCGTCGCTCTCATCCATTCGCCCCCCTCCCTTCCGCGCGTCGCCCTCCCTTCCGCTAGTCGCTCTCCTTTCCGCATGTCGCTCTCCGTTCCGCCCGTTGCCCTCCCTTCGTCTCGTCGCCCTCCCTCTCGCTCGTCCCCTCGCAAACCCCGTCTCTCAATCTCCCCGTCGCCCTCGCTTTTCCGTGGGAGGGTGACAAGTTCGAGCGTGTTTTTTTTTTTGAATTCTAGCGTGTGTTTTTTGAGAATTCTAGCGTGTGTTTTTTGAGAATTCTAACGTGTCTCTTTTGAGATTTCTAGCGTGTGTTTTTTGAGAATTCTAACGTGTCTCTTTTGAGATTTCTAGCGTGTGTTTTTTGAGAAATCTAGCGTGTGCTTTATTTAGAATTCTAAAAAAACACACTCTCAAACCCCGTCTACCTATCTCCCCGTCGCCCTCGCTTTCCCGGTCTCCTCGTTTTCCCCGTCGCCTTGCCATCCACGCCGCGTCGCCCTCGCCATCCCTCCCATCTTTCTTCCCATTGCGCACACTTGTCACCCTCCCTTTTCTACCCCTACATACGCCCTTCCCTCCCCCCAATGATCGCCCCCACACTGCTTACCTCTCTCCCTCTTCCCCCCATCATCTGCCCTGCTCCCCACCATCCTCCCCCCAGCTCTCTCCCCGGCATCTGCCCCCGTCCCTTCCATCTTCTTCCCTAATTCCCCGTATTCCCTGCCCTGCTTCCCCCCATCCTCTTCCCTGTTTCCCCGTATCCCCCTCCCTGCTTCCCCCGATCCTCTCCCTGTTTCCCTATATCCCCTGCCCTGCGTCCCCACATCCTCTTCCCTACTTCCCCCCGTCTCCTTCCCTGCTTTCCCCCATCCCCTTCCCTGCTCCCCCCCATTCTCTTCGTTCTTTCCCAATATCCCTAGCCCTCCCCCCATCCCCTTTTCTGCTTCCCCCCCTCCTCGACCCTCCTTCCCCCCCTCCACTTCCCTGCTTCCCCCCATCCGCTTCCCTGCTTCCCCATGTCCACTTCCCTGCTTCCTCCCATCTTCTTCGTTCTTTCCCCGTATCCCCTTCCTTGCTTCCCCTCATCCCGTTCCCTGTTTCCCCCCATCCCCTGCCCTGCTCCCCCCCATCCCCTGCCTTCCTTCCCCTCATCCCCTTCCCTGCTTCCCCCCATTCCTTTCCCTGCTTCCCCTCATCTCGTTCCCTGCTTCCCCCCATTCCGTTCCCTACTTCCCCCCACCCCGTTCCCTTCTTCCCCTCATCCCGTTCCCTGCTTCCCCCCATAATCTCCCTCTCCACGTGTCCTTCCTCTCCCTGGGATGTTGTCCCTCCTCTCCCTGTCGCTGGCAGTTCCCCTTGTCGCTCGTATGTCCCATGCTCAACACCCTCGCTCGTTGTTAAAACGCCCGTCGCAAGTGAGGGCGCTGCACGTCGACCGACCGTTCTCGTTTCGTTCTGCCGCCAACTCTCATTCCTTCCCACCCTCTCTCATTCCTTTCCTCACTCTCTCGTTCCTTCCCACCCTCTCTCATTCCTTTCCTCACTCTCTCATTCCTTCCCACCCTCTCTCATTCATTTCCTCACTCTCTCATTCCCTCCCACCCTCTCTCATTCCTTTCCTCACTCTCTCATTCCCTCCCACCCTCTCTCATTCCTTTCCTCACTCTCTCATTCCCTCCCACCCTCTCTCATTCCTTTCCTCATTCTCTCATTCCCTCCCACCCTCTCTCATTCCTTTCCTCACTCTCTCATTCCCTCCCACCCTCTCTCATTCCTTTCCTCACTCTCTCATTCCCTCCCACCCTCTCTCATTCCTTTCCTCACTCTCTCATTCCTTCCCACCATCCGCGTGCAGGTGTGTCGGAAGGTGCACGTGGTGCGGAGCATGTTGGCACTGGGTTACGACGTGGTAATCACTAGTAACGCCGTTCTCTTGCTGCGAAAGGCTGCCAAGCCTAGGGAGCTGCCAACTCGTGCGCCGTCGTCTTCAACGGCCATCTCTACACGGTGCGCAGCAACGCGAGCATGTGGAAGTTCTTCGCCAACTGGATCCGACGGCACAAGACGACGAGCATCTCTTTCTCGCACTCTCGCCCCTCCCTGCCGTAATGCTATCGCCTCTTGTGCCTGCCGCCTCCTGCCAACGCCTTCCCTCCCACCGCACCCACTCCACGTCTTTTTCTACATGCGCCCAATCCTTATCGCTCTTCCACTCACTGTACTCTCTCTCTCTCCATTCCCTCCCATTTGCCCCCCCTCTTCCGCGAGGCGGCCCACCAAAGCACCATAACCAGCAGACCTTCGACTAGATCCGCCTCGAGGCGAACCCCTTCACGCGCCCCGCCCCGCCACTCACGGAGCAGTACCAGCCCATGGTGCACTTCGGCAGGTTCTGCGAGATGGGCGCGCAGCCAGCGGAGCTGTGAGGCAGCCTCCTCTCGAGCCCTTCAGCCTCCCCTGCTGCCCCATACCCTCTGCCGACCTGTTCCCTATAAGGCCCTGCACTCTCTAGTGTGCCCTTGCGTATATGGAGGGATTGGGAGCTGCTCTGCCTGACAGCCAACGCTGTGCTGGCAAGGAGTTGAAGCTGGATCATGGGGCAGGGGTAAGGGAGTGTGCTGGGCGGCATGGTCAATGGCGTGGGAGGAAGGTAAAAATAGGCAAGCACAGGGTGAAGGAGGGCTGACGTTTCGTTTTAGGCCTCCCTGATTCCGGGATTTTTTTTCCCCCATCTATTATGATCGCACATTTTTCACAGGGTAGCTACTCGGATAGCTCAGTGTCAAACAAAGTCCTACTCTGATCCGTCAGTGTTCACAGCTCAAGATCAGGGTTGCTCGCACTACACTTCAAAATGAGTGATACAACAGCTTGAACTTTCCTACACTATCTAGTGCACGGGTTTGTCAATGAAGTACACCTCCTCTACGTCCTCATCGTCTGACAGGAATGGGTTGTCCTCCTCTTCCACGATCTCCTGATCGTCGCCTAGGTCCCAGAGCCTCAGATGTCAGGAATTTTACCCTGAATTCCTGAAGTTTGACCCCCGTTTTTTACCGTATTACCCCGGATAGTGAGAAGATTTGAACAAGAATGAATGAACTATGAAATGAAGTGCGTACAAATATGAAACCCTAATTGGTTGTACCCCCTATGGGATACCCTACTATAGCCTACACAACAGCATAAGCTATAATGTTCTGACACACCCCCATAGGCAAAGTGGGGGAGAACAAGGGGTCACAAGACCAGTCAAGCAAAGCAAAGCAAAGCAAGCTCAGGGTGGATCACAAAGTCACCACACAGTCCGAGCACAGGGTCAAGGCCACACGGCCAGTTCACATGCAAGAGTACACACATATATATAAAGCTAGACAAGCAAGAGCAGGTATATATATATGTGAGAGTACAGGCAAGGTCAAGAGGAGAGCAAGTGAGGCAAGACGGGCACAAGACCCAGCTGAGTGCAGAAGCTCTGATGATCTCAAGGCGGAAGTGCCTTGGTGAAGACATCAGCAGTGTTGGCCTCAGAGGCCACGTACGCAAGCCGCAACTGACCACGTTGCTGTAGCTCACGAGCAAGGAAGTAGCGGAGAGCAATGTGCTTTGTTCTGTGCTCCAGTCGCTGCTCTCGACACAAGGCCAGCATGGCCTTGTTGTCTACGTACAGGACTGGAGGAGAACGAGGCGGCTCTCCAAGGTCGGTCAGCAGGTAGGTGAGCCAGCGAAGCTCCTGTGCAGCCATGGCCCCGGCGTAGATCTCAGCCTCACAACTCGAGCCAAGAACAGAAGACGAGCGAGTAGCCCGCCACGAAACAGAGCCGGAACCAAGGCTGAAGGTGTAACCCTGTGACGACCGCTGCGTAGCCTGGTCGTCAGCCCAAGAAGCGTCCGCGTGCCCAGTGAGGACCACTGGACTCCGCCCTCCAAGCACTAGCCCCATGCCCGACGTACTGCACAAGTAGCGCAACACCCTCTTCGCTGCAGCCATGTGCTCTGGTCTGTGTCTCCCAGGAGCAACATAACGTGCCAGAATGCTAAGAGGGTATGCAAGGTCAGGTCGTGTGCAGGTCATCAGGTACATGAGGCAGCCAACAAGCTCTGGGTACGGGCCACTCGACTCTACGGACTCATCCGAAGGCAGAGCTGAGAGCGAGTGGCGAGTAGACAGAGGAGTGGCCTGAGGCGAGGAGTACGTGAAGCCGAAGCGCTGAAGGACCTGCTGCACCATGTGTGACTGAGTCAGGGTAATGGTGCGGCGTGCTCTGTCCCGGGTGATCTGCAAGCCAAGGTAGCTGCGCAGTTCACCCAGGTCTGTGCACGTGTGTCTCTTCTGCAGCTCGGACTTCACGTGGGCGAGTCCAGCAGTGTCAGCTGTGGCAAAGACCAAGTCGTCGACGTACACGAGGATGTAGAACGGCGGCAGAGAGGTGTCGGTGCGTAGAAACAGCGACGGGTCGGCAGTAGAAGGAGCAAACCCAAGAGCCGCAAGTGTAGTCCTCAGTGTGTCGTGCCACTCACGTGGCGCCTGGCGGAGACCGTAGACTGGACGCCGGAGACTCCACTGGGTACTAGAAGGGAAAGACCCAGTGAAGCCAGGTGGGCGACGCAGCCAGATCTCCTCGTGCAGGCTGCCCTGCAAGAAAGCTGTGCTGAAGTCAAGAGAGTGCAGCTCGTAGTCACGGTGAGCAGCAACGTGCAGCAGTACCCGAAGAGTGGTCATCTTCGGGGTGGGGGAGAAGGTCTGAAAGTAGTCAACTCCCTGCCGCTGACTGAAGCCACGAGCCACGTAACGCGCCTTGAAGACAGGCGGAGAACCCGGCGGCCGCTTCACCCTGAAGATCCACATGCCACTGACGATGTTCGCCCCAGGAGGGGGGACAGCGTCAACGTAGGTGCCTGTGGACTTCCAGGAAGCCATCTCTGCATCCATAGCTGCCTGCCACTGAGAGGAGTAGGGACCCTCTATCGCCTCCGCGTAAGAGCGCGGAGTCGGGATGTCAAGTGCATCCGGGTCTCCCTCAGGGGTAAGCAGTACGGACACGAGATGAGGTGAGGCAGCTGCCAGACACTGGAACTCCTCCTGCCTGTCCTCAAGGACGTCCGTGCCAAGGGCACACTCACCCCCGACGGACGGAGGACAGACAGACTCAGACTCAGCGACAAGACTAGCAGCGTAGTCTAAGCGACAGCGAGCAGCAAAGTCGACGAGCTCAGTAACGAGAGCAGACGCAGCAGTAGACTCGAAAGAAGGGTCAGTGACAACAGTAGCAAGGAGACGCGTGACAGTAGGACTGGCAGCACGAAGAGAGTCCGACTCCGGGTCGGCAAGAGCAGGAAGAGAGGACTCAGGAGGAGAAGGCAAAGGGGCACGCAGAGGACCAGTGGACGGACGCAGAGACATCCGGTGCGTGCCAGGGACAGGAGGAGGACGCTGACGCGAACCGCGACCACTAGTGCGAGCAGCACGGACAGGCGACGCAGGGCGAGACGCAGGCTCACGACGCTCAGCCAGACCACGACGACCACGCTGCTGCTGCTGGCGCGAGCCACCACCGGAGCCACTCCTCTGCGAAGACCCGCGACCAGCACCACCGCCACCCCCGCCGCCTCCGACGCCTCCGCCGCCTCCGCTACTGCCGCCGCCTCCGCCTCCGCCGCCGCCTCCACCTCCGCCACCTCCACCACCTCCGCTCCCACCGCCACCGCCGCCGCCACCTCCACCTCCACTGCCGCCACCGACCCCTCCACCCCCACCTCCACTCCCACCGCCACCCCCACTCCCCCAACTGCCGCCACCTCCACCTCCACCGCCCCCGCTCGCTCCTCCAGCGCCCTTGCCCCCCTTGCCCTTGCCAGAGCGGCGTCTCCCGCTAGGGGCAGACGCCGCACCGACCGACTCAAGAACAAGGAGGTCGGCCGCAGCAGCAGAGGCAACAGAGGGCAGAAGGGGGGAGGGGGAACACCCCTCAAAGATGGGGGTGCGCGGGTCACCACGAGAGGCCCCTACAGCGACTATGCTCTTCTCGGCCGCTAGGAGGGACTTCTCGAGGAGGTCAACAGTGAGAGTGGTGGGACAGACAGAGAGAAAGTGGTCCCTGACTACGCGAAGGGAGTCAGGAAGGCGAGTGACTATGTAGTAAAGAGTGATGTACATGGGGGGGGGTTCCTGGCGCAGAAGTCAGGAGGGAGTGCAGCGCGGTAGCGAGTGTCACTAGTGCGGAGGTGCGTAATGAGGTCAGTGACTGTGGGAAAGGCAGTAAGATCAGGAAAGAGGTACGGTAGCATGAGACGGCTCAGTGCAGCAGTGGCAGGGGAGGAGTAGCGCGCAACTACAGCGTCGTACAAGGTCTGAGCACTCTTGTACTGACTAAAGTGCGCACGCTCGGAGGTAGGGAGGTGGCGACGCACAGCAAGACGTGCAGCAGCGTCGCGCGTGGCCCACTGGGAGCGAACAGTGGCGTCAGCATCAGCAGCAGGGGCAGTGGAGGTGCCAGAGGTGAGGTCAAAGAGAGAGAGGCCGTCTGCCCTATCGCACTGTAAGAACAGCTGCAGGTCATCTACCCAGACCTCAAAGTCAATGGCCCTACCCTCAGCGTCAAAGGCGAGAACACTAGGGGTAGCCATGACCCTAGACGACTAGCAGCGCAAACAGTGGGGTGAGGACAGTGCAGTGAAAAGGCGCTGTGCTCACCAGACTGGGCAGGTCGGGCGGCCCTGAAGGAGGGCGGCGCGGCGGCTCGGCGGCTCAGCTGCTGGGCGGCCCGGCGGCTCGGCGGCTCCGCTGCTGGGCGGCTCGGCTGCTGGGCGGCTCGGCTGCTGGGCGGCGCGGCCGCTGGGCGGCTCGGCTGCTGGGCGGCTCGGCTGCTGGGCAGCTCGGCTGCTGGGCGGCTCGGCGGCTCGGCTGCTGGGCGGCTCGGCTGTGCTGCTGCAGGGCACGGGGCCGCAGGTAAGGGCGGCGGGGCCGCTGGTAAGGGCGGCGTGGCCGCGGGTAGGGTGGCGGGGCCGCAGATAGGGTGGCGGGGCCGCAGGTAAGGTGGCGGGGCCGCAGGTAAGGTGGCGGGGCCGCAGGTAAGGTGGCGGGGCCGCAGCAGAGGGCGGCGGGGCCGCAGGTAAGGGCGGGGCCGCAGGTAAGGTGGCGGGGCCGCGAGGAAGGGCGGCGGGGCCGCTAGGTAGGGCGGCGGGGCCGCGCGATGGGGCGGCGGGGCCGCGCGATGGGGCGGCGGGGCCGCGCGATGGGGTGGCGGGGCCGCGAGGAAGGGCGGCGGGGCCGCGCGATGGGGCGGCGGG